GCACTTTGTTTGATCTGCAATGTGTGAGCCAAAACTCATTGGTAGCTAAGCACACTGATTTTTCATAGTTGTAACATGTTGTGAACCATGCAGCATTTGGGAAACCAACTTTAGACACCCATAATCTAGCTCAATATCCCAGTTGTCCCTTGTGTGGTAAATTTACCTGCCTTTCCGATGGCCCCCTATTAAAGGCACCCACCTACATACGGGACCCAAACATGAACAGGTTCTATTGTCTCAACTTGACTCAACCATTGTAGGATGGGGTTGGTCATTCCCAAATCTCTGGAATCTTTGCAATCCATGAGTCAGCAAGGAAATTTCACATGAAAAACCCGCAAGTAAAACGAAATCACTAGGTTTTCTTCGTGAGATCGATATTGGATGTGGCTCAAAAATTCAGATTGACCTTCGACCTGCATATCTGACGACTGTGTATCTTGAATCTTGAACCATCCCACACTTGAGGAGATCCATTGTTGTTGATGGTTCGAGTCATTTTGGTCGAAATGTTTGTTGTTCATGACGGTCATGACCTCCAATTTTGGGGATCATGAAATTATGGGCCCAGATTCCATCCCTGACCTGAGGATGCCTGGCGGCAAGATGGATGACATCACTGTAGTGGCCTGTGTGGTCACATCGTGATGTTCTTTGCGCTGGGCGAAGATCCACTTGGAGACATTTTTAAACATGACTTCAAATCACGACGTCACTGGAATGGTTACAATAACAAAAAACAAAGGTTTGCATTAATGTGCATCATTAGACGCGTGTACAGTTTATCTCTTATTAGATTTCTATGACGCAGAAAATCAGAAAGTAATGTAGTTTTACAATACCAATGTTGTGGCATTGGTATTCTGCAACCGGGCTGTTGAGAGCGTCATGCTATACTGTATGAATTTTGTTAGTGGTTGAACCGGGCCCCTTATTTACATGTTTGTTGGGATCATCGTTTGCAGTTTTGAATCAAAGATGGCCATGCATGTCTTATCTTATGGATCTTCCCCAGGATCTTCCTCCAAATTTTATTTGGAATGCATTATAAAATTGGGCCAGGATTCGTGCAGAATCCAAGGGCCCTGATACTCGACGGTTGAAAGCTCAACATGCCCAACATTTCTGACTTTGCATGCCTTAGCGAAACTTCTAGAGATCATCGATCATGACAAGCATTAGATCATATTAGATCATTAGGAGAACATCCCCGTGATTTTCGGCTTTGGGAATTACACATTGATGTATTGTTGTCCAATATCATGATGTTGTTTGGTGTATTTGATATTGTTTGTTCGATGTAATTCCCCAAAAAGGGACCCCGCAACAAATGCGAGAGTTGACAGCCCATAGCCTAATCTCATCCATCATTGTGACTGCATGAGTTTAAGTCAGTGGATTATATTCGCAGAATCAGAATTTGAGTGTTTTTTTGAGGTTACATAAAGATTCAAGTCAATAGGATGCTCCATATTTTGTCCCACTATAGTTCATCAATGTTCATCATTTTGTCATGAAATAGCCACAACTGAGCAGTGTTCAAGCCCCCTCTGGTCCCGGTTGGAAAGAAACGCTTCTTCAAGGGACGACCTTGTGGCGAGCACCTCTCAACTGGGGCATCAAAAACTGTTGGGTGCACCTTGAGCGAAGCCAATGCATAGAAATTAGTACCATAGCACGGTGCAGTTGACCGCTGAAAGCGCAGCTGTACAGCGTGCCTTCTCTTTTAGGCACAGACCAAGGACAGCCCCAAAGTGGCGGAAGACTGGAGGCACCCCAAGAACCAAACCTTTCGTCGTGAAGGGGATGGGTGTGTTTAACGGGGTATCATGTTTAACATGCCCCTTAACCATTTTAATCGGAAAGCTGATGATATACCAATAAATGTCTGTTGTGCCATATTTTCGCACAAGGCCACTTGTCTTTTTTCCATGATCTCCCAATTTTTGGGGCGACCATTTTGAGTCAAACACCTGGGGGACTCGCCATAAACCACACTCCATTCACCGAAATTTCTATATAGACATTTATATAATAACTAGATCATGTTAGATCAGTGCAAATTGGGTACTAAGACACTAAGAACTGATTCTAGAAAGGTTGGTTTGCGGAGCCGCCAAACAACCAGCTTCAAGCGCTGTTTGGGAGGAGTTTGTGTGTCGCAGATCCATCGCAGGGGCAGAAACATGGTGGGCTATGACCAATAAAAACATAGAGAGGCATGGATGCATTGCAATCCGGAAACCAAAGGGATTATCGCGATTTTTGGCCTTAAAAAGTAAGGATTGAACAAACAAACATAGGGTTGGCCGGCACAAGGTCAAAACATGGGGTGTGTGGCCAAGAAAACAGGGATGGACACATAATACACAAATAACATGTTTCTGGTTTAACCATGAAGACCTCAATTTCAGAACGGTCCCAGGGTCATGTTTTTTCGTCACGGGGAATCAGCATCCCAATCCATCCCATTTGTTGGGCATCCCAGTTGTTCTGAACGATCACAGCTGAGCCAGAGTGTGAACGTGCTAATGTGGTAAACCTCCCATTAGCAACTAGCAAATAGATGCAAATAGTAACTGTTCAGGTTAACCCGTCCCTTTTATCAACAAACTGCATTTGTCTAGCGTTCATGTTTTTCGGCCTCCACACTCCTCTTGAGGCTTGGGGGATCCGCTCCCAACTGCTCCCGGCAGGTGCCCCCCATCCAGGGGATAAAGCATCCACAGGGGCTTTCCAGACAACGTTTTTGGCGCTTCGCAACCGGTCAGAATATTCCCCAGTAAAACAAGCGGTGCAACCCTTTGTAGACTGCAAAAAACAAGGATTTCAGGATTTCACTCAAGTAGCAATTTATGGCATGAAGTTTGATTATCATGGGATAATCATCTTTATAATGGGATTATATGCCAATCATAAACATATATGAATTGAGCGAGTTTTTGTCCCTGCCCACTTGTAGATCCGGCGAGCTGCCGCGTGCTGTTTTTGTTTGAACTGCAAAGTGGCGTTAAAAAAGGGGTCCGCTGAAATCCAAGGAAAGCACTTGACAGTCATTGAATTTTGGGACGCCCTGAAACTGGGGGCTCAACTAGGAAATCTATCAATCAATTAAATGGGCCCTATCGATGTTTCCATCATCAACAAATGGATACAAATGGGATCAAATGGGATTCAACCATCAACCAAATGAACAAAATGAGTTTTCACTATCAACATATTCACCAGGATTTTTCAGATTAGCAACGATGCCCACTGGGTCTTGTGGAGGATGGTGTTTTTTTGGGGGGATCAGCCGGACCACCTGCTCTCATTGGGCCAACTTGGGAAGTTACCAGGATGGGCTCAACGACTCAACCACCAGGTAAGCAGAATCGCGCAGAATAAATTTGGACAGAATCGACCATTATAGGAGTGTTGTTTTATGGTTAAAACAATGTCATAAACCACGTCGCATGTTTGATTGTTTTTCTACCAGCCCTCTGAAATTATGGTGAACTTGGGGATGGTTTATTATTGTTTTAACACGTTTTAACCACGTTACTTTGTTCGGATCCTTAAGCTATCTACCGGGCACTGTCGAATGTTGGGCGGAAGGAAACTGCGCAACGTGCCACGAGGCCATGATGCAATGCCACTGGCGTTTTTGAGCGATGCGGGCAGGTGATGGACAAGTTCAATATACTGTTTCTAAACATTCTAAACCTGAAAGTCTGGATATTGATATATGATGATAGATGAAACACTAAGAGAAATTCTGGATCTGGATGAAGAAAAGAGAAACCAGAGATTTCACTTTGGATTTCCTTTGTTGGAAGCGACACATGCATGACCTGTCCTTTTTGGTGGAGGTTTTCCAGAATGCGCAGCAACCTCGTTTCACAGTGCAAGCTAAACAACATGTTTCTGCCTCAGAATAGCCCCTGGATATCCAAATGACTCACTTTTCCTGGTTGAATTGTGGATTATCACCACCAAAGCGGTAAAATGAGTCGGTTTACCAAAAGGGTATAAGGGTAGTGTCAGGGGTCAGCGGGACATTTTCGCTGTTGTGGAGCCACGCGAAAGCCCAAGATGTTGCAATTCTTAGCATGGAGCATCACGTTGTGCAATCAGACATGAGGCCTATCAAAACAAAATCCTGATTCTGCATAAATCCATATAGTTTTTCTGTTTCTGGGTGAAATTAATGATATTAAATGATTGCAACTTATTTCCATCCTACCTATGATAACCCAACTTGCCACACACGCACACATTACCGGGAGAGATTTTGAATTACAACTTGACCAACCTGAGGGTCAACATCTCAGTTTGAAGCTTGGACAAGCGCATTTCAGGCGTTGTCCGCATGCAAGGATCGATCATATTGTCCGAAAAGCAGTGTCTGAAATGAACTTCAGGAGATACTGTGGATGGAAGAAATCCTGCATCACCTTGGATGGTTGAAACCTTATAAATAATGGGAATATAATGGGATAAACCACCTATCGGTGCAGGCTTTCTTCTATCCACCGTATCTTCAGGTAGACCGAGGCGATTTTGGTAGATGTTTCTGGATTCACTGCCGCTGTCCATCACCGGATACGGCTGGACAGTGTGGATGTGGGTTGGGAATCTTGATACCTCCTTCTTCAACAGCAAACAATGCGTTTTGGATTGGATCACAAGTTGAAGTATTGTGGACCAATAGACAGCAGCTATGTCTTCAGGGTTGAGATACCTGCTACCAGAAAATTATTACTGTATATAGTTTGCCATCAGACTTGTGACATATTGTGATCCAAGTCTCCGTCCATCTCCGTCCAATGCCCGAAATGGCTCACAGGTATACTATCCACAAGCCACAGGTGAGCAAGTTTCAAAGCCAGTTGTGACATGTTGTCACTTGGGCGCACGCCTTGACCATGGAAAATGACAACGACTTCTTTCATGATCTATCACCCATCACCCCCAGCTTAAAAATTAGCACATCAGCCAGAAAAAAAAACATGTGTGCGCAGCGACTGTGGACCATGGTGGTGCATCTTTGACCTTTTCCAAGGTGCAAAGGGCAGTGCAGGTGTTTGGATCTGGTTCATCTTTACGACTGGGACATTCCTGTATGATATACAAATTGATTTACTATGAAAATAATGTGTATAGTATTATTATTATTATACAATATTATCTGGTTGGTGGTTTGGAACATGTATTTTATGACTTTCCATAATATATTGGGAATAATGATCCCAATTGATGAACTCATATTTTTCAGAGGGGTAGGTCATAATTATGGTATGGTTCGTGTTTACACATGAATTTTGTCTGCCTCGAAGCACGGCATTCGTACAAGCCATTCGCTTGTTGGACGGCGCTGCATTCCACTTACTGGAAAAAAACACAGCTGCTATTGAAAATGGCCATTGAGTTCGTTGATTTACCTATGAAACATGTTTTTTTTCTACAGCAAACTGTTAGTTTTCTAGAGGGTAGATGGCTTATGAGCTTTTAACCCAAACCCATTATTTCGGTGGTCGCCGAACTGTAGGGCTTTTGAGGGTCGAGAAGTGTGAAATCACAGCATGTCTTGGTGAAAGTCTTGATGCTAGTCAATCATCGAGTGGTAGTTAATGGTAGTCGTAAATTCCTATCAAAATGGGACTGTCAATACTCAGGAGAATGGAAGTTTTGCAACCTTTGCAATGGAACTTGAATTCCGCTAGAATTATCATCAAGAAATATGTTCACATGGGAATATATAAGCCATACTTACCCATAATCACCCATATCCGCCCCAATTTCTTTGTACTTTTGCGCCACAAATAGTTCATGCCCAGATGGGGAAGCGTGCTGCTTCGTCCTCAAAGGCGTGGGCTCGGAGGTTGAGATGGGAATGTGACTGGCAAAAACATGGATTTTACCATCAGCGTTCTGGATTCTACTAGCAAAAGTTATGGCTTTTATCAGCAAAATGGTGGACTCATAGGGCTTCTACTAGCAAAGTATAGCAAAGCTATGGATTTGACTACCAAACATGACATATTTACTGGGAAAAAAATAACATGGGGAGAAACCAACAATTGATTTGGAAGCTTCATTATCCAACAACCTGTGTCAGCACAAATCCAAAACCATTATCTCAAAACCTGAGCTGTTGAATTGGCAGGGTCTTAAAGCTGGTTGGTGGTTTAACGTTGTGGTTGGAAGTTGTCTACGGCAAAATTAGATTGGGTGACACACACACACACATATATATATATACACTATACTAATAAATCCGAAAAGTATCCCTGTGGGAAAGTGAGGTACAGTTTTACTTGGATAGGGTACTCCTGCAAATTTCTGGGTGAATGTAACCAATCTTGGATGGCCATGAGCGCCCCATTTTTTTCATCCTGACACATGGTATGATGATCCCTAATTGGCTAATATCGTGTAAAAAGTCAAAACCACGAAACTTTTTTACCTCCTGGCAATTTCGTGATGGAAAATAATCACCTTCAATAGTTCATTTTTTTTGAATTATTACTGGTTGGTTGAACAAATGTTGGGCAACGTCCATCGTTCAAACCAATGGGTTCTCGATGGTATGCCGAACAAACAGAAACAAACCCAATTTTATATTCCCCATGTGGGGACATCATTGGTCTGGATAGGTGAGCCGAACGGTTGAACGGTTGACCCAGGGTTGGCCATGGTGACATCAACTTCGCCCTCTAACCCGTAGGCCCTTCATGGTTCAATTCAAAACAAATTACACACAACAGATTTGGGATTCAGCTTACTATAGATTTTGGATGATTTTGGAAGGCCACCAGATCCCAAAGTCTTGGGTAGTTGTTTGCTGTAACCAAAGTTCCTTCAAGATCCTGGACGTGTCCAAGTTTACCGCAGCCGATTTGGCAGGACCATACCGTGGTCAAAACATCACTTGACCAAATCCACTGGATTGAAAAATGATAGACAATAAAAAATATATAGTAAGACTGTGCTTTCCTTCCACAACAACAATGACCATAACTTTGGGGGTACCCCATTTTCATACACACATGTGTAGCCTTGCATCACCTAGTTTCTCTTTATTTCTAGTGTTTTGTGGCCAGGGATGTTCAGCTGAAGTCAGTTTGCAAAGTTGGTTGGTACTGTCGTAGTTCCAAAGCAGTATCCGATGCGTAGGGGATACAGACGAATGCTGTGGGCCGTTCCCCTTCAATCCATTACTATGAGTTGGAAGATTGATTCCTGCCCACATGGCTCAACTGATGGACACAATCCTGCACCACTTGGGAAGAAACCCCATTCCCTGCATCAATGTTTTTGTTTGTCTCACCAAATTTACGGAAAGTAGTAACTAGGAACTAGTAACCCCAAGAAAAAACGTAAATTACATTTGTTTTTGTAGGACGTCACTTCTTTTTGATTGGTATACTGTAATATTATCGGTAAAGATGATAAACCATGGAATGGAATGGGCTTCGAAGTTTTGAAACACCAGCATGATCGTTTTGCCAAGATCCTGAGGTGAACCGCAAGCAGAAGCAGAGGGAAGAAAAAGCTGAGGTCAAGGAAGAAGATGATGAGATCGAGGAGGTGGGTCCAAAGGTCTCTGAGAAATGGGGAAATCATTGGAAAACTATGACCTTTTTATTGGGGCTGGGGTAGAACCCGACCTTGGGTCCAGGGATGTTCAGGGCTGGGACATGGAGGTGTAACTCGGGCATGCACTCGAAAGTAGGCTGTCTAGAATATGTTTTTTTGGGTTGAGCCAGATTCCCAAAACATCTCCGAACTGCAGAAGGCTTATTCTGGTTTGCGCTTGGGTCAGATTCGAGACTGATAAGAGTCAACCATCGCTTCAGCATTTCTGGATATGTTTGGCACTTTCTGTAGTTGTGTATACTTAGGTTTTGGGTGTTACAGATATAGTCTACACATGTCACATGTTTAGACAACTAAACAAAAACTGAGCGGAATATCGCATTTGGGTCTCTTAGACTTGGTTGTGTAAACTGATCATTTTCCTTCTGAAAATGGCTCGACAGAAGTAGAAAAAAACACCACTGAAGTCCGTCAGGAAGACAGCTGCAAACGTACCAAGGGTTGTTTCAGTCAGGATCCTGTACTGTCCGTGTTTACATGATTGATATAATTACGTGGCTAAGCATGGATAAGTTTTGACTTGTTCTTACAAAATAGGTGATCAGACATGCATTGAGGGTAAGAACGGCGTGGTTCTCATTAAAACATCATATGCTCTAATATAATTTGTGTGATAGTTGACTCTGCAGTTGGTGAATGATTTTGATATTTTTTCATGAACTAAAGCAGTCAATGATGCATGCCTGGCAAATCTGCTGGCACATGGCAAAGCATAGTCCCAGTCACTTTTTAGCGGTGGCAGCTAGACTGTTGGGATCAACCCTCGCCTCATCCTGGTTCCTTGGGAGGGCCGCATCGCATGTATCATAATCTCAAAATATGCCGCTAATGTCAGATTTTTCCCGCAACCCAAGCATGTGTGATATAACCAGAAATCTGATGGGGGCAGAATCTTCATGGTTTTTCATGATTTGTCCAAGAATGTTCAGTGATGGCACTTCTGCTGGCTTCTCAACCAATGGCTGGCACAGGTTTCAATGCAAGTGGTCCTAGCCAAGCAGGTGGGCGGAAATCACAGGGACATGACACAGAGGATGGAAAAAAACACTGGAGATGTACGTGATGCATATAGGAACTTGATAGATATATGATATATGATAGAAGCAACCATATAACCAACCAAATCCAACGCGAATTTTGATTTTCTGAGCCAAAATGATTTTCTGAGCCAAAAAGAGAAACCATTCCCGTGTTTGCCCACTATTTTGTGTGATTTCCAAATGAAGAGCTCCAAAAACGAAAGGAGGCTAGGACATCGACCGATATGACTTTCCAGGGTGCCAATTGCTGACCCCACTGACTGGCACCTTATCAATAGGAGTCCACACATAGATAGAAAAGAGTTTCCTTGGTGTTTCTTAAAGATGTTATCCCATGTTATCCCCATAGTTTCCAGGATCTTCAGTCCTCTTCAATGCTTTTTTGAGAGGTTGGGAATGAAGAATCGTCCCAGTTGAGAATGCTCTGTTTCACTTCGGTTCGTGACACAAATCCGAAAAATCTGAGTTGTCCTAGAGAAGGTCGTGGAACTACAGGGATAATCTTTCAGCAACTGGTGGAGATGCCAGAATCCACACCTTGGGAGTTGAACAGCAAGAATCCAGATTGATTCGAGTGTATCAAGCTACCATCTGGTTATTTAACATAGCCATGGAAAATCACCATTTTTAATAGGTAACCCATCTATAAATGGGCCATTTCCCATGGCTATGTTAAATAACCAGAGGCTAACAAGCATGAAAAGAGTACTCATAAAGTAAGATACGAAGCAATTGGATTCACGTGACATGGTGACATGCAGGGAGAAACATGGCCCAACAATAGCCTTTTTCAAAATAAATGGATGATGCATTTGGAAGCCAGTTCAAGGCTCAAATTGCTATGAACTGAAGTATGTGTTGTTTGTGTCCTGAATCAAGCCATGTGTGGTTTGAAGTGGGTCCAGTTGATTTGGGCCAAAATTCATTTTGCTTGATTCAACCACAATTTTGATTGAGTAAGCCCTTATTTGAGCAATGGCCAAAACCCATTGTTTGATTACTTATCATAGGTTAGTTATACATGGTTAAATCAATCAGCGTTTTATTGGTGAATAACCATGTATAATCTTATGATGTTCCCTGAGCAATAACCTACATGTTATCAGGGTTATCATAACGTTACTTATCACAGGTTTCTTGGGAATGGTGAACCACAATGGAATCTGGGAATCTCGATCTCAACCAAGCCAGCCCTCTAAGGTGAGCGACTTTGAGTCGCCCAAAGAAAATCCCAAAGAATAGAAAAGGGAGGTTACTTAGTCTCATCCCGCGAATCCCAAGTAGCTCAAAAATCAGGTGATATCTTAGGTTATCCCAGGATATAATCTACAATTCCTGGGATGAGCCAACGAGTACCTGGGACTGGCAGAGGTTCCCGTCAAAGACGAGGGAAGGACAAAGCGGACCAAGGCGGGGAATGGTTACTGTAATGGTTATTTTTATAAGGAATAAGTGTCTTATATCCTCACTATATAACTTATGTATGATGGTGTATTATATGTATATGTAATATGTATATGTACATAATATGTATATACATAATATGTATAATATATATACTATTATATATAATATATAACATGTATATATATATACATATTATACACAGAATCCAATATAGAATCAATTTTACATAATATCATCATCATATCACTATATCAAGAATAACAATGATTGTTATGATTCAATCAATTAGATTACATGGTTAGGATATGATTGGCTACAATGGTAATGGTATATAAAATGCAATTGGATTGGGGATCCATAATTGGGAAACCATGCAAAGGTTATTTTCATAGATCTATGATGTAACTGATTGGATTTAAATCATTGTGGAGATTATGGCATGGATAGGGATTGTTCAAATTTCAATCATAATGAGATAGAAGTGTCATATAATGGGGATTGAATCATGTACTGCAATAGGGTCATCATGAATATTCAAATGATCGATGTAATGAATTGAATCGAAATAGGGATCAAACATTAAATGAAAAAACAGGGCACCTTAGATTCTACTCCCAGATATAGGGGCGTTCCAATGGATTTCAAGAACATTGTCCCTTGAACCAATCCATCATTTCTAGAATGCTGGAAACAAGGGACGTACAGAAGCGTAGCTGGTTGCAATCCCTGCCAACCAATTACAGCCAGGATGATATTTAATCCGGCTAGAAACCGCTTTTCATAGGACATGATACCAGAACAGGGGCCCTGATAAATCCGCTTTCGTTGAATTCTTTGAACCGAAGCGTATTTGAGTGGCAATTCTGACAGATGTGCAGCCCTGTTGTAATCACAATGGGACGAAGCAGTCAGATGCCCACCTGCCTTCATGGTTCACTTTCAAGTTACAAGTGATTAGTCCTTCCCCCGTACTGACTAGCAATATTTGGATACCCTCTGGTTATTTAACATAGCCGTGGGAAGTGCCCCATTTATAGATGGTTTACCTATTAAAAATGGTGATTTTCCATTGCCATATGTGATTTTCCATTGCCATATTTCTTCTGGAAAGTTGGAGTTCTCCATTGCCATGTTAACTTGTTAGATGGTTCTCAGGATCGAAACAGTTTCACCACCCCAATACTCTGGTCCAACGATCCACCCTGACCATGTTTTGGCCCTTTTAGGGGCCCAGTTGGAAGTGCCCTGTTACCAAGCAGTTGCTACAACAATTCCCAAAAGGAGAGACAAGTACATGTCCATATATGTGTGGACAAGTGGTGGTTGCCAATATTCACTATGACTGTTTTGCCATTCTGGTGATTTATTCGTATTGTTCCATATCTTTTACACGGCCTTAAACCAGCCGTCACCAACCACATGCTATTGGTGACAGTACTTGTCCATGAAATCATATTGACGTTGCAGTTGGTCTCAATATGTCTCACTCATATCTACAGAATATATTGGAAGAGTCTCATTTCCTGGCAAATCCCACGCGTATAATTGGGGTGCAGTATACAACTCCATGGTTTTTGGTGTTTTATTCCCGGTTCATTCTTTTTCGTTTGAAATCTCAGACAATTCAGAGCATGAGCTGGACAAAAAAGTCCAGGTATATCGATAGATCGCATGGGTTTTGCCCAAAACTGGGGAACCATGGGGAACCTCAAAGTCCCAATCTTTGAGAAAAGCAATGACAATTATGTTGAAATTAAATTTGCAAATTTAGGATGTATTCCTCTTTTGGACAGCCTATGTCTGATCGCATTGGTTTGCTGGGATGATCAAAGTTAGTAAGTGGTCAATAGCTACGATGTCAACTGTCAACCCTGATTTTCACACCTTGCTGCTGATCAATGGGGGGGTAAAAAGTTACCGCTTTAGCCGCAAATGAGGACTACCCTCTGGTAGCATAGCTATTGAAAATTGCACATTGGTAGTTGATTTCCATTGACAAGGGTGATTTTCCATAGTTTTTTGTATGTTTACCAGAGGGTACTTAGGGAACTTTCTGGGGTTGACATGATTTCCTTGCCGAGCTTCGTGGCCCTACTGGCGATGTCATGCCAGGCAAAGAAACGAAGTGGACCCAAGGTAGGTTTGGGATTGGTAAAAAACGATGGACATCGCAAAACTGATCGTTTTTGACTTCAATCCATCTAATATCATCTAATGATTTTTGTTCAATTCTTAAAAAGGGATAAAAAGGGCAAATTGCGCGCGTAAATTCTCAATTTAGATTGAACATTCCTTTAGATGATGGTGTGATGGTGTGTGTGTGTGTGAGGATGTGTGAGGTAAGATCGTGGGTTTGTGTTTTGTTATTATATAAATTTCCTAATCTCAATGAGTTGTCAAGAGATATGAAAAACATGTTTCCTCAAGATAGCGCTGGCAGCTGCGGATGATTATCACCCATTCATTCCCCACCTGTCAGGTGAGGGTTGTTAGATTTTATGTCAGCTGTCCCGCCTCCTCCCGCCGCCTCCTCCTCCTGCTCCTTCGCCTCCACCGGACCTCAACTGCAAGCGCTAGATCGCAGGCACAGGATCAGAGTGGTCCCAGCCGGGCCTCAACCATATATTAAAGAATTTTCGAAGATATAAGATATAGCAGATATGTAGAGAACGCCAGAAAGAATGTCAGAAGATTTGCCAGATAGAATGCCAGGAGGAAGAGGAGGAGAGGACGACTCTGATGAAATCCAGATTTCATCAGAGTCGTCCTCTCCTCCTCGTCCCCGTCAGAAAGTCTTGCCATAAAATAACCAGAATATATGCCAGATAGAATGTCAGAATATATGTCAGATAGAATGTTTTTTGGTGGGGATCACTCGAAGTATATAAGCAATTTGAGAAATCATCGTTTTTGGGTTATGACTACAACATTTTGGTGAAAACAGCAATGGCACCATTTGCAAGGCTAGTTGATGTTTTCAGATTTCTGGGTAAACCGGCTACTGTAAGGGTTTTGACTTGAGTGGTATCAAGAAGCAATTGAATGGCTTTCAGCAGCTAAGTATTGGGGATTGCGCATCGATGAATATCCATAAACTTTGGATTGGTAGCTTAAACTTCATATCTGACCATTTTGATGGAATATGTCGAATATGTGATACCCGGCAATCAAAGACATTCCTATTTTTGGCTTGACCACCAACCCAGACAACTATAGGAACATCCTAGATTGTAAAAAAATGTCAAGGAACAGCAAAAGAACCAACCCAATGACATCTGGGATCTGGCAGCTCCCTACACTTTTTGTTGATGAATTTGTAACATCAATACTAAGACAACCAAAGTTTAGCAGGAAAACACTGGGTTTCCATGGGCTTCCATGAGTTTCCATGGTTTTCTTGTAAATTTCTCAAGATAAACACATAATGAAGCTACTTCAGGTACCGCACCTTCGAAAGCCAAAGTTGCCGCATCGGAACCTGGGGGAATCGAATGGCGTCCAGTGATATTGTTCGGAGGAAGTTTAAGCAACAAGCATGTGGGATTTGTCTGAAAACCAGGGATGCCCTCAAATGTTAATTTATTGTGATATACTAATAATAATTACTATTTTATATATATATATATAATAGAAGCCACTGTAAACCCTTTTGTGGGGAGGCGGGAGGTACCAAATTTGCATTAGAGGAAGACTATTTTTCGAGGGGTTTGAACTTTCGACGTTGTTGTAAAATGGACAGGTGGATCCTGCAAGGCAACATGAGGCTTACGTGGGCCATTTTTAGCACCCACATTTTGTTGAGCATTGCTGGATTAACCAACCGGATTGGTAGTTCGATACATTGATTCTGCATTGTTTTGGAACATGCATATATATATATATATGATTTATATTATTAGATATATTTTTATTACTATTACCTAATTGCATTATTGCTTTATTGTATATTATACGTAATATATTGTGTATATGATATGCATTTGATATACGTATATGATATGTATATGTATTATTCATCGATATGCAGAGTATCCACAATCAGCATGATTGGACGGGCCCAGTTTTAAAGTTCCGGACAACGATGCATAGAGCAACAAGACCAACCAAATAAGAGTAAATCCCAAAAGGTTTCTGCTGAATTGTCCCAAACTACATACCAAAGACATTAAGACCATTCCGGACCCAAATCATGTGGGTAAAACAATGTCAGAAACCAACCGTTTGGGAATGGTTTGTACCACCTATAAAAATGGTGATTTGAGGGATGCTTGATTATTGTTTTACCCACATTAATCTGAAAGAAGCAAGTCCATCCAAATCCGCTATGTGGCATTGCCCACTCGTGACTTGTCACTAAAATTGGACCATGTTTGTTCTTTTTTGTGAGTTTGTTTGAACTTGTCTGGCTCCAAATCAGTGTCACCTTTGAACCCTATTGACTGGAATCAGAACCATTCGGTCATTTAACCTGGCAGAGGACTTGGCAAAGTCCTACGGTATCTGGAATATCTGAGGCAATTCGCCTTCGAATGGTTCCGGCAGAAGACCAAAGTTGTTGATGGGGAGGCGCAGCAGGGCAGTAACCGTCCAACATAGAAATTCCATATAATGCGCGTAAAGCAATAATTGACCAACCATATTTTAACGGTTGATACGACCTATAAAAAATGGTAAATTCTGGGATGGTGGATCCTATTGCTTTACTAACGTAACCATCGTTTGCCCGGACCGGGAAGAATCATCATCGTCATCATTATTATTATCATGATCAGCATCATTTAGTTCGTTAGAAGATAACATGTCTGTTGCAGAATAGTTCATGTCGTGCCCAAAACCCCCCCACCTAAATGGTACTGGTATGCATCTTTCAGGGGTCATGGGGAAGAATCTGGTTATGTAATGATGATGAACAATGAGGATACCACCCCCCAACCCCCCCAACCTAAATGGTAATGATGTGAATCTTTCAGGGGTTACGAGGAAGATGGTAATCTTGTAATCATACAGGTATTTTGTTGTAGCATGTATTAGTGTTTCCTTGAGTATTCCGGGCTACCGTCCTGACCCACTGAACTCGACTTCTCGGCACAATCCCACCGCTGCGCGGATGAGACGGGCCCGCTCTGCTAGCGTGAGCCAATCCAACAAGAGCTGCCAAGCCTTCATTCCCCTTGGGCCGCGACTGTACGTATGTTACTGCGGCACGGCAAAGTGTCAATGTTGCCATCAACTGCAGATATGGATGAACATTGAATCAGCGTGATTAACTATTTGGTTGTTAAAGCAGGTCAGAAACCCTACATGGTATTATATGTATCCAACCATGGTACAATTTCCATGCATTTACATTTCAACCCGCATGGTATTATCAATACCCCAACAATCATGTTATGCGGATCAACATGTATTGATAGTTGTCTCAAAATATATGTACATGTTGTGGCCTTTGGATTCTTGGGCAAACGATGGTGTCAGCGCGTAACATTACCATAGATATCCATAGATTATACATGGTTGTAAGGAAATTGCATATTCTACGGTTTATTAATTATGATTTCATCATCTACAAATATGTTTTTGTTTGTTTCTTTCGTCCTGTTTACACACACATATATGAATATTTATTTTATCTAATGCGGATGGTTCAATTTACCTATGCTTAAGTTGGGGATTTCCACTGCCAATAGTGGCTCAGTTGGGAGTGCCAAAGATTGCAGGTTTCAACATTAGGGCTGCGGGTGGTTGTTTTAGTTTGTTTTACCACGGCCAAAAATCTACAGTCTCTACAGTTCTTCATACTGACCATCATATTTGATACTGATGCAGATGGTCAGTCCCTACGGGACCACAGGAATAATGGGACTAACCTCCAGCACTACCAGTCAATTCGATCTTGAAATATAACCATTTTCTGATATATCCAGCACTAAGTCAGGAGGGGCCTGTTGTTATTGAATATCTTAAGGGTGGGATTATGTTAATCGGTCTCACTGGGTAAACCTGGGATTCGTTGTTTTCGATGTTTAGCTTTGAATCCCAAGAAGGATGTCCAAGGTGAGGTATCCAAGGTTAGCTAACCCACTGATTTTTGGGCAAACATTGCTTCTTCTAATTTTATGTTCGAATGAATTGTTAATTGTTTTGCAGGGTATCCAAGGTTAGCTATGGTATCGTTGCCATCACAAGTAAAGGGCAAACAGTTTGTGCGTGTGCCCGTCCTATTTGCGGATTCTTAGGGCAGCAATTGGAGAGCGGGGTAAAATTGGAGAGCCAATGGACCAACAAATGGTGTTGATCGCTTTGAATTGGAATGAAACCATCCATTTTAGGGGTCCACTGATTTTGGCCCATACCCATGTCCCGGGATTATAAACAACACACATTGGAAGTTTTTTTTTTTTAATATCTACATGGCGGTAGATGTCCCTTCTCATTCATACATAACAGCCCCCGGTTTCAACGCCCATTGGGTCATGATCATCATTGTTGCCATTGAAACTGCAAGTTTGTCCATTAAAATAAAAAGTTTGGGTTACGCCCTATTTGTGCACGAAGGATGCACCCACATCTGTCACTTCATATTTGTCAATTTCAAGAAAAAAACAATCATGGCTAAACCCAAACCAAAAATAAACGCTTAATTAATTAATCGGTTTTGGTGTCCAGTAACCACCAAAAAGGCAGACAAGTAAATTGGCACCAGCAATAACCTGCATTTTTTAAGCAGGATTTCACTTCTCAACGGGGACTAGTGGTTTGAAAACCATCAACATGGTTTAAAATCATTGATAGGTTATGTATCCGCAATGTTCTATATTTGATTTTGGATGATGGTTGTTATATATATATATATATGTTTTTTTCTTGTATTTTACATTTTTTACCACAAAATCATATATAATTACACCGTATACAACATAGCAACCCCCCAAAAAATAGATTTTGGTCAAATCTAAAATAGCGGTAAATTAAACCAGTTTCTTTTCGTTGAGGTTACTAGCATTTATTAGCTATATGTTTCCTTTTTGTGGTTGCTATATTGTATTTTTCGCCAAGTTTGGTCGCCAGGAGAGACCGGAGAAACCCCTGCCACAGCTGGTGATGGAGTGGAAGAATCTCACCGAAGAGGCGAACGAAAAACAGAGATTATGGGAACAAAAATAGTTATAGTTTCAATATTATTAAAATTTCTATATCAATGCATAATATAGTATGATATATCAATATCATAGTAGTAGTAGTAGTAGTAGTAGTAGTGGTAGTGGTAGTGGTAGTAGTAGTAGTAGTAGCAGTAGTAGTAGTAGTATTCCCTATGATATGGAAATCGTTGATAGTTTCTATATCAATACGTAAGTAAGGAATATCAAGCCTTTGATTATGGGAATCTTCCTTATGATTAAAATTGGACACATTTTTTGGGGAAAATATAGGGTTTTCTCTATAGGATTCAACCACGAAAAATGGTGATGAAATTCACAGCATTTTTCAGGTGATGCATGCGAATAGAAGAGGATTTACAACCAATTATAGTCAAGAGTATGGACATGATTGGGAATATTTTACTGACTGCATGTGTATATATATATATATATGTTTTTGTTGTTTATATATATATATACACGCACATGATTATCTATGTATATCAAGCTGATACATACCTACATACATACATACATACATACAGACAGACAGACAGACATACATACATACATATGTCATACTTTTCAGTACATTTGTATCATATGCCACATGTCATTTATACAGTCATGTGTGTATATGATGTTTGTAGCCAGCTGAAATGACTATATCGGATACTTTTTATGCATCTACAATTGGAGCTTTCAGGCACCACACAATCTCCGGTGGCATGTAGCCTCCGTGTCCGTGGCTGGGATTACCAAATGTAGATTTACAGCTTTGACAATGGGGAAACCTGGGGAAATTTCCAGCTGGCCATGTTTGATTACCAAAGGATAAGAACATGGCAATTATTTATGGTAATTTGCATTGACAATGGAAAATTCCCCATGTATAAATAACTGGGATTGATTAGGATTACCAAAGGTAATTTGATGGTAACTACGATTGATTTCATAATTTTGGATGATTTTGCAACTCTCATGACTCATGTACCTGTTCCAGCTTGTGAATTTCCACGTTTCAATGGCATTGGAACTACCTACTATGCAGGTACTGTACCATGAGATACCAACTGAAACTGACTTGAAAGCAGTCTTTCGGTGGTTATTTGGCATCTGAAAAGCCAAGCTGAGATTCAGAACACGGACACACATATAACATTGGGAAAAAACATGCCACATGTTACATTTTGATCATTGTTCATTTCAGGCCATATGTTGAGAATCATGTTTGTTGCAACGTCCTTCCATGAGCCTTTTGGTAGGTTTTTTTCATTAAGGTGGCTGAAATTTCCAAGACCCCATTACTTAAGCTTGATCTCTTCAGGTAAAATCCCAAACAAAATGCTGCTTCTGAAATAGTCTTCTAGTTACCATCTGGTTATTGAACAGTTCGCCATGGAAAATCGCCATGCTATTAAATTCGGTAAACCATCTATTTCTATGGGCCATGGCTTAACCATGGCGAACTGTTAGTCATAACCAAAGGGTACCATCCAAGCAACATAGACCGGAAGCCAATTGTTGGTGTCAAGCTGTTGGATGGGAAGAATTACCCTTTGAAAAGGTACGTGCCGATCAATGACTCCGCCAAGCAGCAACCAATCGAAGGTAATTGGTTCATAACGAGCCTAACTATGGTTTATGAGTGTTTATGGTATTTGTAACGAAGTATAGTTTCATTTTCTGAGTAACATAAAGCAACCAACATCTAATTGCCAATTGGGCACCACCTACCGTGGTGTTGCGCCAGGAGCGCGGACACTACATCACCCTGGCTGAGGAAGATCGTTTACGCTTCGAACAAGAGTGGCTTGCGCTGAGAAGTTGGATGGATGAATGGTAAGGCGTTTAATTAACTCCATTAATTAGTTCATGGTCAACCTGAATTAATCAACTTCACTTAACTTTGGTGAATTGGTTAATGGGCTGAATGGGTTACAGCTACTATGAATTAATATAGAAATCAAGAGGGATCGATGTTTTCGTATCATAATTATTTAGTTCCAAGTTACATTTTTTTTTGAGGTGTATTCCTTTGCCCAAAGGGAAGAATTTGCGGATATATCGGATTTATGGTCTCTGAAACAGCTGAAATGAGTCAATGTATCTAGGTTTTGCACTTGTTAGAGGATGTTAAAGTGAGTGTTTAGTACACAGTAGGTGACAGTATGAAATTGCCACCATGGCCTCCTGGGCATACCCTCCCAACTACCAGTTTCTGGGTTCTCAGTGCAGGGTTCGGCACCGCGAAACAAGCAATGAGGAATTTTTACCCTGTCAAAACTACGGTAACGACATTTAAATATGTGGGGGGCGGGCCAGACCGCGAGGCCACGGAGGTAGTATGAAATACCAGTTCGTATATTTAAAAGTCCGTATATTTAAATGTAGTTACCGTACCTTTGTGGCACATCACAGATAAAGATCTCAAAGCTGGTGTGCTTCGTTTCGGAACGTTTCTTTCATGGAGGATCATCCCATTATGATCCCACTTAGGAAGTGGTAAATACGCCGTTAGAAAGTCCCATATTTATGGTTACGTTCACCAGCGACGAGTCGTGCGAGTTGTGGATCCTCCAAGTTAGACCGGCCGGGCAATGCCCGAAACCTTGGTATGTTGATGCGTGCAAAAGGACCCAGGTAGAACGGACTAATCGAAGGAAGTTTAGAAGTTAAACTTCCGACAATATGGCAGATGGGAAGAGGCAGAGAGAAGAGAAAGAGTAAGAAGAAAGAAGATGCAGGTGCGCGAAAAGGTAGGAAAGTCGCGAAACACTGTGTTTTTTTCGTGGTTTTGTGGCTCCGAAGGGTTGAAAAGTAGGCTCGCTAAAGCGGCGGGTGCGGAGCCAGCTGGCGAGATGAGAGATGAAAAAGTGCACGCCGTTGTGGCCGGAAGCACATTTCGAAGTCAAAATGTACAAAACACATCAGCGTCGGACCACTTTTGGAAGTTGAGATGTCGAAAAAGTGCACGCCGTTGTGGCGCGAAGCACATTTTGAAGTCAAAATGTACAAAACACACCAGCGTCGGACCACTTTTGGAAGTTGAGATGTCTAAAAAGTGCACGCCGTTGTGGCGCGAAGCACATTTGGAAGTCAAAATGTACAAAACACACCAGCGTCGGACCACTTTTGGAAGTTGAGATGTCTAAAAAGTGCACGCCGTTGTGGCGCGAAGCACATTTGGAAGTCAAAATGTACAAAACACACCAGCGTCGGACCACTTTTGGAAGTTGAGATGTTGAAAAAGTGCACGCCGTTGTGGCACGAAGCACATTTCGAAGTCAAAATGTACAAAACACTAGGGGTTCGGACCACTTTTGGAAGTTCGGATGTGGAAAAAGTGTACGCCGTTGTGGCGCGAAGTACATTTCCAAGTCAAAATGGACAAAACACTACATGTTCGATGAAGAGATGGACGGAAAAAAAAAATTAACAGAGAGAAGTAAGTGGATGGCTGGATAGACAGAAAGATGGAGAGTTTAATAGTTAGGTGAATAAACAAATCGAGCGATAGCTACATGAATAGACAGGTAGATAGGTAGATGGCTAGAAAGGTAACTCTGTAGATAGATGGCGAAAGAGTGAGACAGAGAGAAAGAGAAAGAGAAAGACAGAAAGGCAGAAACACTCAACCACCTTTCAATCCATCAGTGGGTTCGCTCTGCCATTTTTGCGCCACAGCAACTCACCTCGCCTATAGGTTTTTCATTTTTGAAACTTCCGCCACCGCCTTGTGCGGTACTACTGGTAGATAACTAATAGATGATCTATCAACTCACTAATGATGGTAATTCTGTATGAGTTATATATGAGTTTATGCGGATTACGGACTACTATCGCGATATTCAGATGATCTAGGGTTATATAATGTTATATATACTATTTTTTTTTCAGAATTACCATCACTATTTTCCATGAGAATCCCGCCTCTCTACCGCTATAGCTGGGGATCACAGAGCCCAAACCAAGGTACGAGGAGTGGCGGCAGAAAAAGGCGGCGCAGGGCAAGGCAGAGCCGGCCCTGCAGGCGCCAGGGTCGCCGCGATGCCGCCGTTGCAGTGACGATGGGGAGATCAGGGTCTTTTTAAAAGAATTTCTCTCTTCAAGAATTATTTAAGCCCATTGAACATATGTATCATATGTGGATTTAGAATGAATGATTAAGAATGATTTAGATGTGGTGTTCTTTTGGAGTATGGCCTTTCTGAGGCACATTTGGGCAGGTCAGAGGGGCGAAGAGTTGACTTCGTTTCCGAGATCCTCCCCATAAAAACACCTTAAGTCCTTATGAGGTGCTGCATCCGAGACAGCGCCTTCTGTTGTAGAACTTTCCATCCCGGAAAATGAGCGTTGACTAGTGAGAACTGTATCTGTGGCCAAAGCAAAGAGAAAACTCATGCAGGGGTTGGATGTATCTTATTTTGGCCCGCTGGCGTTAAACAACCGGCATTGCATGGATTTCTGGAAACTCTGTGCTGAGAAGGGGTTGGCCCGTGGTTGGGGACCGCCTTGGTGGCGATTCCCACTTTAGTTATGGGCCCTGGATCGGCCAGAGCATCCAACCCTAATCCTGTCGGAAGAACAGCTTGTTATTTTGCACTATAAGGCTACAAGAGTGGTCTTGAGCAATGAGGATGGTACTCGTACATGAATGGAATGCCTTGTGTGATGCCATTCTTGGTATACGAACACTAACCACCATTGCGTAGACATGAACACTGTTGGCCCGGAAACAAATTGGAACACGGACAATATATAGCAAGAACAGAACAGGAGCCTTCAAAAACAACAACAAAATCGGAACACGGTGAATAAAAGTGGACACCCAGAAAAACTGCAGAAGATAAAAATATAGCAAAAACAACAACTGATAGCAAGACAAAGAGGGATAAAGTAAGGTAAAGCAGAAAGCATCAAAACTTGAAGTAGATAAGACATACGACATGTCAAACAGATTCACATTCACCCCTGTAGCACCTGTAGCACCCGTATAGATCATAGACTCACTGATCTTCAGGACCTGTTGGAAAAGCGCCGCGCCACCTTGCAACGCTACCTAGCGCGTCGGGAGTGCCCAGCGGTTCGATGGTAGACAAGTTGCTGGGGGTTTAAGCAATAAATTGGAATGGGATATATGGGTTTGTCCCCAAAAACCTGTGGTGATTTGATCATCGATAAGCAAAATTGACACAGCAATTTTGCGTATACCGGTATACCCCATTTTCAGACAGACCGATTATACATGAACTACAAAGATAAATAGACAACCCCTATAGAGTTGAACATTTGGCCTTGGCATGGTTCTTCGCAGTCGCCCTCATGGGCTCAGGCTATCTAACAGAGTCCCCACATGATGAACGAAACATCCACGTACCGCAAATGATGGAAGATAAGATGATTTCTCCCCAAAAGGATGCAGTAATAGTAATAGTGTTTCTTTTTCGAATGATTTTGTCTCTGCTGCCAAGATTTTGAAACTCATTCATCAACCTCTACATCTACAAAAGTGCATGACAGCTTTACCCATTGCTCCAATGGAGACGCCGTTTCGAAAGTCGACAATGACATTGAACAAATTAGACCTAACTACACATTGTTACACATGTTAAACTGGTTTAAAACCAGTCAAACAGCCTGGATAATTTCCAGCTAGCGGCTCGCCTATTCAAGATACATCATTGTTTCTTAGTTTTGCTCATGGATTTTGGGTCCATCTGCATCGCTGGGATAGCCACCCCAAGTTACCTGCCCAAAAGGGATTGTCAGGTGTAAATCGGATTACTTGATGGCGAATCTCCCATGGTTTTCGCTGATGACATGACTAATCGAAACTATCCTAGCTAGTTCAAGTTCATGGAACGATGTGGTCAGCTGGAAAAACAAACATGCGGGCAGGATATCCTTGGTATATCTTGGTATATTATATAAGTGTGTTTCAACATATTCCTCTTCAGACAATTACCCAAATGATTGGGTGGCTACGTCCCAAAATATAGCGGGTCCCATCTAATTTCTCTCCTGCAAACAGATTATGAAGTGCTGGTTTGACAGGGTATGCCCTTTTTCCGACACACCCAATGACAATTCTTTATGTCACATCATTAGACTGGGTAGATTACGAGTTCGAGCTCGACACGACCAACAAATGAAGTTTGGGGGGATTCCCCACCCCAGAATGGCATTCAAATCCCCATTTTCAGTTCTCAAAACTCCACTTTTCCAGGCAAAGCTCACAAGTTTGGATGGCCAACATCCACTTCTTTGATGTTTTGAAAGTTTCAAACATGAATTTCCACTTTAAACCACCTTAAACCATTATTTTCTAATATAAAATGCATTAGAACTACTATATAAAAACATATAGCCCGCCATTTTCACAGGAGCCGAAGGCCTTGAAGCCCCTCGGAAACCACGGGCGAAACGGGGTCAAGGTGCAGGAAGTCGAAAGAGGACATGGCGGAAGTTGCAGATTGGGATGATACCTGGTATAGTGATGGTTAATATACTATTATTTGTTGTTATTATTGTTCTATTACTATACCATTGTATATACATAGTAGATATCATCCGAAGTAATTAGATGATTAGTAGCACATAATAGAACCATATTATATAGATATATGATTTGGATGGTTGGTATGATAGTGATGGTTAATATACATTAATAGAACCATTATTATTATATCTAAATCATTGAACTTATGGTCAATACATTATGATATATAATACCATTGAATATTTCACCATCATTAGATATAAATATGAGTTGCTTATCAATGGTTATGTTTAGTATCCAAGTAATGATAATATATACTAATATATACCTGTTTATAAATACTACCTGATGGTTTTTAACTACTGGGTGTAACGTCTAACCACTGGGTATATATGATATTGATTATCTAATTGTATCTAATTATGTTATTGACTAAATCTAATGGGTGCAATATTTAACCTGAACCATCTCAAAACCAACTATGTTGTGTGCCCAGTGAATGCCCACTATGCCCCATTTAATAACCTAGGTAATAGGACACTTGCTACTTGTGATATATCATACCCCACCAAAGAAATGTGAAAGCACTGCTTTGACATTCCTTAAGGTTCCATCCCGTTTAGGAGTCATCTAAACCAGGTGATATGGGTCATATAAACCATATAAACATCAGGGTCGTATGGTTTTCATGACCCATAATCAAAACCCCACGAATCGAACTTGCGCATCCGCGACAATCTCACAGGGCAATCTTCTTCACGGCTCTTGGGAGTTGACCCGTAAATTTCTATGGCGATTTGAATTGGCCGTCCATTTTGATGATGCAAATGAGTTCCATCAAGTGAGCTTGCTGGTTTGGAAACCTGTTTTTTTTCTGGGAAATCAGTGGGAATCAAGATTCATCAACAAAATCAGAACCCAACCAACAAAAAGGGAGTCCAACGGCGATTTCATCCAAACCAGGGATGCAAACACAGACGACGGCTGGTTGGTGCCATTGAAATGCGATATGTCTGGTGGTTTCAAGGACATTTTTGTAATTCTGATCCTTGGTGGGGATGATATATGACGACGACGATCCCTAAGTGACTCTTACCTTCATTTAATGAAGACTATCCATGCGCTCCCCAACACAACTGCTAACGTATTTGCATTGTAGTGCCGGTGGAAGGACAGTGTCAAATCGTGCTCTAGATGGCAAACATGGTAATACAAAAACAATGATTCTTTTATCGGGGAAGATGAGGATACATGAAAACCAATTGGAATTTTGGGTTACCCCATTTTCAGAGAACCCTGGATTGCGCAATTTTGGAGGAGTTTGCAGACATGCGAAACCTGGGATCTTTCATAGCAACTACTCTCTGATAAACTAGCATAGCTATGGAAATCACCATTCTGAATCAGTAAATCATCCATCAATGGGACATAGTTATGTTAGTTTTGCTGGAGGGCAATGCCACATTTTTTCTTTTGCAGTCTGTCCAAGATTTGCCATGTATACGTTGTTGCCATGTTTGTCGCTTCAATGCGCCCTTATGGTTGAAACAGCCATACGCCATATGGTTTCCTTTAGATGTTCCCTTGAACCCATGCATTGAAATATAGAAAGTTTTCACTTGTCCCGAAACACAAAAGCAAACGCTGCGGAGGAACGTTCGACCACCTGAGGGTTTTCCAAAGAGGCGGGGATGGGAGATTTCCAAAGAATCGGCTCCAACATGGCAACTGGTAAACGTTTGCAAAAAACGATGGAAAGATCCACCATCAATCGGTAAATCCACTATTTCTATGGCCATTTTCAATAGCTACGTTAAATTATTTTTTGTGGAATTGGATATATGCCATATGTTTGTGGTTTCAAACCATCTCCTAGAAACCCTTGGTTTAGTACTGGAGCTATTCACTTTGAGTGCTATATGCGGGTGATATGATCGGGGTTATGGGATGATTCTCAAGATTCTTCGAATTGTCCGACTAACCTTGCGGCCTTTACCAATAGAATCCATTTGAAATAGAACATGCATTCACAAAAAAACATACACAAAATGAGACCCACTAAATTCCCAAGAAAACTATTATGTTTCATAAAGCTATTAAATATGCCCTTTACCAATAAATGATATTCCACTTGCAATTCTGCTGCGCCTTCGACGAGGCCGGTGAAATCGGCCTACGGTCTTTTCTGTTTGGAACAGCGTGCTGGAATCACTGCTGAGGTGGGTAATTTCCATGGGCTACACATGGGGTGACAATGCTCAAACTTGGGGGAAAATCCTGGTAAATATTGTTTTTCAAATATTTTTTTAATGGATAAATTGGGATAAATTGAGAGAATCTAGGTGGAAAGTAGATGATTTGTAGCAAGGATGGGGAACTTGTGGGTCGATACTTGGATGCCAAATCATTCCAATTCGAAACTGCTGGAAATTGGAATGTTTGGACACAGGTCTTGCTTCTCCCAAGAAGTAATTCTTAATGGGAGATTTTCCAGAGCCATGGATCGTATCTAAAAAAAATTGTGTTGGAGACATACACGTGGACGTTTTATCTCGTGCATTGATACATGAGCCACGTCCAAAACCCCCTTATTACATTTTTAGGTATGAGGGTGGCAGAAGGACCTCGCATAAGCAAAACCCTGGTGTGCGTAAGCTCAGGTAGACATCAGCGAAAGGTATTCCCGCGCGTAAGCTAAAGCTGCGGGCGCGTAAATTGCCGCTTAACCATTTCCTTGTCGCCGAGGAACAAGACCTTTTGAACACAGCTCAATAGATTACAATAGTATCAATAGTATTTTCTTAAATAATATAAATGTTTTAAATATAACATAATAAATTGCGCGAGGAAAATTACTTTACTTCGTGTGATCCCCACCATGACATTTATACATTTTGTTACTGGCAAATCTTCTGGCATTCTATCTGACATTTTATTTGGCATTCTATCTGGCATATCCTCTGGCATTCTATCTAGCATATCTTCTGGCATTCTATCTGGCATTCTATCTGGCATATCTTCTGGCATTCTATCTGGCATTCTATCTGGCATATCTTCTGGCATTCTATCTGGCATTCTATCTGGCATATCTTCTGGCATGTTATTTGGCAAATCTTCTTGCATTCATTCTGGCACTTTATCTGGCATACCTTCTGGCATTCTATCTGGCATATCTTCTGGCATTCTACCTGGCATATTTTCTGGCATATGTTCTGGCATATCTTCCGGCATTCTATCTGGCATTCTATCTGGCATATCTTCTGGCATATTATCTGGCAAATCTTCTGGCCTTCTAACTGGCAAACATTCTGGCACTTTATCTGGCATATCTTTTGGCATTCTATGATCTGACATTTTATCTGGCATTCTATCTGGCATACCTTCTGGCATTCTATCTGGCATATCTTCTGGCATTCTATCTGGCCGTTGAGGTCCAGCGGTGCACACTGAGCTGGGCAGGTCCCAGGTTGAGGTCCAGCGATGCACACTGAGCTGGGCAGGTCCCCGGTTGAGGTCCAGCAGTGCACACTGAGCTGTACAGGTCCCCGGTTGAGGTCCAGCGGTGCACACTGAGCTGGGCAGGTCCCCGGTTGAGGTCCAGCGGTGCACACTGAGCTGGGCAGCTCGCAGGTTGAGGTCCAGCGGTGCACACTGAGCTGGGCAGCTCCCAGGTTGAGGTCCAGCAGTGCACACTGAGCTGGGCAGCTCGCAGGTTGAGGTCCAGCGGTGCACACTGAGCTGGGAAGTTGGCAAAGAGCTTGGCGAAGAGTTGGCATGGCGGAAGTGGACATGGAAGTGGAGGCAGAGGTGGTGGATGAGAAACTGGAGGAGGAGGCGGAGGAGGAGGAGAAGGAGGAGGAGGAGGACGAGGAGAAGGCGGAGGAGGAGGAGGCAGTGGAGGACAGCTAGCGAGGAGGAGAAGAACAGCTCTGATAAAATCTAACAACCCTCACCTGTCAGGTTGGGAAAAACATGAAACAACAACATACTAAATTGCTTTTCCTAGGAAATGGTTATCTACATATTGTGTATGTACAATGTCAACCTCATATTAAGAAACCTTGATTGATAAAGAATCATGGGTACATTTTCAAATAGTGGTGATTTGATAGTAATCTCTTCCACCTAATATTAAATGCCTTGCATATGAGCCCCAACATGAATAGATCAAGAATAGATCCAATACTAAACCATGGTTTCGTTTGGGGGCATTTGTTTCTTGAGGAGGGGATTGCAATGGCACCCTCCGAATGGTCAACAGCCCAGGGCTAGCTGGGTGACTGGTGCATCCGCACAGGCGGAGACTCCCGAGGCCAAAGAGCAGCCAAAAGAGGGGGAAGGTGCGCGGAGGATGGTGCGAAGTAAACAAGCGGCAGGGTGGTGCGGCAACACAATGACAACTGGCAGCCATGGTATTTGGCAGGTGAAACCAGCAATATGAAAACCATGGAAAGCACAATTTTGGTCCAGATGTTTTGTTTGTTCACGGTGAACAACTTCAATGGGAGTGGATGGTGTCGGGGAACGGTGGGCTCAACAAAGGTGAGGCCTTCGAGGATCGAACCATTGGTTGATACTGAGCATCATTCCAGACTTGGATGAAGGGAGAATCTGCAGGAAACTTTGGAACTCCTGGAACCATGTAGATTTCATCTCAATTAAAAAGATAACATGTTCAATTTTCCAATAAAAATCAGCATCTCAGATCGACTGATGTCCAAAAAGCCGGAAAACGCTCGCTAGCTTCGCATGCTGCCAAGGTGCTGCTGATCCAGCAGAAGATGCCAAGGTGAATCTCACGATCGATCCGTTCAACCCCTCATTGATTCAGCACATCCTGAGGGAAATATGTTGACAATTCCATGCTTTACCAACAAAACTAGGGATTTAATGCGAATATCATGGGCATCCATCTCTTGAATGGCAATAATTTTCGGCTACGTTCGTATGAACAGGGGAGGGGACCGGGCTTGTGCTATCCAAGATTGTGGATCAGAATCCATGAGCTCACCTGGAATGCTATGACAATATACGCACCAAACAAGTAGTACCCTCCAGTAAACTAACATAGAGATGGAACATGTGCCAGACATGTAGATCCTGTCCGACCGGGAGAGAACCAGGGATTTCCATAGTTATGTAAACGTTTACTGGAGGGTAGTTCACCTCAAAAATGAATAATGCATGAAGGATCCGGAAGAGAAGTGATGCTCTTATCAATGAAGAGTGCGCGTGCAAAGAAAATCTCCTCAAACCATCCTTACATCCTAAGAAGTTCATTTTGGCAACAATTTTTTGGAGAGGTTCACCTCGGAGTTGAACATCTTAGCAGTGATGAGCGCATTGGTGCCAAAATGTCCGATGGATAAACCCCGGTGGAGGGTTGTCTCACCAATTGACTCTTCGGCCATTTGGACAAAGATGGAGGAATATGAAATTTGTCCAGAAATTTGGGTATACCTACTGTAAATTGGACAAATCCACAGATCTGGTTTACCCTCAATCAACAAGGGACAATCCACCATGGCACGTTCGAGCTGTAAAGCTCCATGGCACAGCAATTGCCCAGCCACGTTGGAGAACACCGGAGGACATACATCTAAGATTCTAAAGGGTCTCCAAGAAAGATATGGGCCAAGACATCCAGAGCGTGCGATCCGAGCCCCACTGGTGGACAAAGCCAATGTAGTCCACTTTCCAATCCTATTCTGGTTGGTTTGGAACCATGGAATTTTATGACTTTCCGTTCAGTTGGGAATGTCATCATCCCAACTGACTTTAACTTTCATATTTTTCAGAGGGGTAGGTCAACCACCAAGCTCTCAACAGGTAGACCGTCCTGGGGTGGGGGGCCCTAGCTGAATGCTTAGCCATTCTAAGAATGGGGGGTGGGGTTTAAAGTGGGAGATAGACCGTCTGGAAATTCTGACAAAGCCATTTGACTCCTAATCTCATTAGAAATTGGGATCTGATCTGAATGGCTTGATGAGTATACCACCAAACTATGGCCATCTTAATAGGGAACATGATGAATTGTGGAATTTTAGGTGCTATATTCTCAGACAAACCCATCTAGTTGCTGGTGTCCGTATGTTTCAGTCATAAATGAAGTTATATAATGTTGTGTGTATATATAATTAATTATATATATATATATACATATAGACTATCTAGGTGTGAATGGGAATGAATGGGATGATGCTTCCGGAAATAGCTCACGTTAACGTTTCCTTCAACTGGTGGAGGAATTTGGGCCATGCGTTGATCCGCGCAAATCTGAAGTGTTGCTACAACCTATCCCCATGCACTCCATAAGCGCGGCATACCAACATTTACCTCCCGGGCCGAATGGGCCCCAGTGTGACCCCACACATTTTTGCGCGTATCTGTTGGGGAGAATTGGTGTTTACAAAATTCTGTGTGAAAGAGGATGGTCATCAATTTTCCAATTTATTCATACATATATAATCTGTTAGTTGTGAAATATCGTATTTCCATCTATTTCCGTAATGGATGGTCATCTCCCTCACCGGGATCATGGCGGTTGGACTCTCTGCAAGAATGCAACTGTTGCTTCTCTCGACCCTCGAGGGGAAGTGCTCAGTTCTTCTTAGCCGGTTATTTCTCCATGTTTGATGCTTGAAATTTCTGGATGTTACTTGATGTTCTAATACATTTTCTGTCTGAAAAAAAACGTCCAAACTTTGGTTGGCAACATAGTGACATTTATTGGCGAGACTATCCAAAAATTGCATCTTAATCTTGGTTGGTCACTGATCCATACTATTGGTTGGTTATGTCCTCCATGTTTGCAGCTCATATACCCATTCCATGTTAGGCGGGCAGATGTTCATGTTTGTTGTTTCAATCCGATTGCAGAGCAAATTGATCCATGCCTGTTTTGATGAGCAATTTCCTCTTTTGTTGTTTCAATGATCTTGGTAAAGTACACCGACCTCACTTTGCGACCTCACTGGAATCATGGTTAATAAGGGAAATCATCCCCAAATGGCCTTAATTCCGATTAGTGAATTATTATAATTTACCCAGAATGATGTTTTTTTACATGGTGCAACTCCCCGATATCCGTGCCTCCGCTACATCATTGCATATAATTTCCTAGAGCTCTCTTTCCTTTGTGTTTATATAGCACGCCCAAAAGATAGACAAGTAGAATCCTACTACAATAGTGGCGGTAAAGTACTTGTCTCATCTTGTTTGTACTTGTCTATATCTTTGATGTTCCTGTGCTTGATATCTATTGTACTATTAGATGATCATAGCTTATTATCCAGCTGTCTATATCTATATGTCATGTTTTTTTGATTATTTTATTGTCGTGTTTTATAATATCATATTATATTACATTTTATTAACTTATATTATATGATATCATTTCATATTCTATTGTGATACATTATACTTGTATTATGTTTGAATCTAGTGTCTTTCTGTTTAAAGCATATATATATATATTAAATACTATTATGTTATTTTGTTATGTTACATTTTTATGTTATATTATGTCATCTTATCTACATTGCATTATATAACTTGATATTATATGATATTATGTGTTTTTGCTTAGACTATATCATGTTATTTTACATTAGGTTATATTATGTTATATAAGTTATATTGCAATGTATCATATTATATTAGATTACATTGTATTACATTCTATTATGTTATATTAAAATATAGCAAATTACATTATATTATATTGTGTAGTGTTTTATATTTATATTATATCATATTGTATTGTATTATATTGATATTATTATATGTTCATATTATTTCATTTTCTTCATATTATAGACGTGATATGGTGTTGTATTCTATTAAAATATATTATATTTTTTGTGACTGAGAGATTATTTGACGGGATCAGAAGCGAGGATGAGGATTGACGACAAGGACATTGTCGCTCAAAATTACAAGCACTCACGCTCGAGGACGGGATATGATGCAATGTGTGTGAAGCTCTCCTACGTTGAGTGGGCAACGAGTGGCATACAGAGGTATTCTGGTTCAATCGAACCAGAACATCGAATTTGCGACCAATGCAGCATGCAAGACCCCATCTGCAGGTTCAGAAGGGCAAGTTCTTAAACTGCCCGAACTTCACAGGCTTGATTGGAAGCCTGTTGCACTCAGTGAATACTGACCACGGATGGTCGGGAACCCTTCTCCTATTTTGCAAAGGAGGGAAGTACCAGGTCTGTGGCCTTCACATCGCTGGAGCGGTTGACGGAGTCCCAGCGAATGTGGCAGTGTCTGCTTATTCTCTCAATGCCTTGCTTTCCAAAGTGGATGCAGGGACTACGGAGGACATGCTTAACTGCCCATTCGGTTCTCGGAATGTGGCCCAAGAAACAGCCTTGGATGAAGACCTTGCGTACGTCCTAACTGTGAACCCTCACAGCGGGAACGAAATGAGGTTTGGTCGTAATACCAAAAGGGGTGGACGCAAGAAAACGGGCAAAGTCCAGAAGAAAACAAAGATGGACTTTACCGTATCCAACTCTAATTATGTCAGATTCAAGCAAGCTTGACACTCTCCTAGGAAGGACAATACGTCTGAGATCTCTGGAAGGAGTTAGCCAACATCAGCTTTGAGCTTGAGCAGTTGAACATGACAGGTGAAACCGAAGGTGATGCCATGTCAAAAGCCAATGCTGAAGATCGTCTTGAGAGAGTATTGCTAAAGATCGAGAAGAGGGCTGAGCCTGCTGCCACTAGACATTATGGAAAGAGATCTTACCATGATGGTAGAGCTTGTTGGGCAGACATGTTTGATGAGTGCGATGAAGCAAGAGATCCCACAGAGATCGAGGCCTTTGAAACCTATGCATACTCTGGGACCTTGGCCAAAGAAGCCAAGCGAAGGATCCATGAGTTGTCAGTGAGTGATCATTGGTCTCAGCATGGCAACAAGGTTGAAAAGTATGTGAGAGACGCTGACAGGATAGAGATCCAAAGGCGATTGAGACTTGACGGCGAAGAAGAAACTTTCACAGCCAATAGTATCAACCAGGTATGCCTGTTGTGGAAGTATCTCTCTGAGCAGAAGGAGTCTTTCAATTTGCGACTGAACAAGAACAAAGTTGTCTATGTTCATAGCTATCCTGAAGACCCCGGGAACTCAGACAGCGCATATCGTCTTCCTATACGAACCAGAGGTCGATGCACAGAATTCACCAGATATCGCAACGACCTTGTCAACTTACGTATCTCCTAGCGTGATGAGATCGAGCAAAGCTGATCCTGAGCGACTGAGAGTCGGAAAACCCCTGAAGAGGAAGCAGAGCGACACGACCAAGCAAGGTTTCGCAGGAATTGGAAGCTTAGAGCTGATCAACAGACTCCTGTTAGAAAACCAAGTGTTTTGAACAATCCTCCCGCAGGAGCAGCTCCCAACCACATTAAGCAGTTCATGCGGTCTGGGGATATGTCAGTGTTGCGCTATGTAGTCAACGCTGATCTCAAGCATGTCGTCAGCCTCCCTGAATAGCCGTTGTTCTTAGAGTACATCAAGTCTCTCAAGACAACATACGGTGAGAAGGTTGGAGAATACGCTGAGAAGATTCCTGACAAACACGGGAATCCATTTTCCTGAAAATTGGACAAGCAACAAGTTTTCAAGGTCCAGGCAAAGATCTGGAGGAGACGTCTGAAAAGTCAGGAAAGCTATTGATGAGCTTGTTGACGAATACAAAGGAAAGGTGAGCCATGATCTGATCAAACAAATGCAGCGATCTAAGACATTCGTCTTGCCTCCTAAGGGCACCGAAGCGGTATTGGAGAGCTGCCAAGCAAGTACAGTTGAAAAGCGATTAAGTCGTTAGGCGTATGGGGATAACAGCACAAGGGAAACCTGCCACGAACCATGGTATCAAAAGGAGAGGGTCCTGCAGACTTTTTCAGAATCCACGCCTCTAGGAATTATCGGATTTGTTTGAACTAAGAATGGCATTGACCTAACAAACAACTTGGGAATTTAACCGAGAACCAACCAGAAATGGGCACTGAACATCAAAACGATATAATCCTCCAGACGTAAAGTATCAGTCTCATTTACCCTCAGGCAAACTAACATAGATGCGGGAAACCAATAGTTTCACTTAGGAAATGATCCACAAGTAGTTGGTTTTCCACATCTCTGTAAAAGTTTAGCCCAGGCTACCCCGGCCACCGGCCTGTGCCATGCTGTCCCAGGCCACCACGTCGCGCGGTTCCGCCGCCGCATTGGTGGCCCTACTGGATCCTTGGAGTAGCGACTTTGGGCGATTCCGGACTCGGCCCGGATGGGCCCGGATGGGCCCGGATGGGCCCGGATGGATATGTATAGTGGTGAAAAACAGTGAAGAACCATGTTCATAAATGGGCAATATGTCTTATGTTGCTTGTAATATGGGTTAGATACTGGATGATATACGGGTTATTTCCATGTTGTTCCCCACATTGACGTGTGGGGTTTTTGTTTTTGGTTCTGTATCCACTCGCTCCTTCCGTCCTCCTCCTTCCTTCCTTCCCTCTCACTCGCTCACTCACACTCACTCACACTCACTCACACTCACTCACACTCACACTCACTCACACTCACTCACACTCACTCACACTCACTCACACTCACTCACACTCACTCACACTCACTCACACTCACTCTCACTACACTCACTCACACTCACTCACTCACTCACACTCTCACTCTCTCACTCACTCCCACCTCACTCCTCACTCACTCAACTCACCACCCACCCACCCACCCACTCACTCACTCACTCACTCACTCACTCTCTCACTCACTCACACTCTCACTCACTCACACTCTCACTCACTCA